TACCTAAGTCGTACGGAGGATGAAAAAAAAAAAAAAAGCTATTATTTACACTCCAACGACGCCTGGCAGCTCGCCGAAAAAGTCCTTCCTGACCTCGCCCTTGTACTTCACCAGGCACGGCATGGAGGGCCGAAACGGCGTAGGGCCCTCCTGCCTGTAGACCCTCTCGATCTCGTCGGCGTCGTAGACGAAGAGCAAATCGGGCCTACCGATCAAACCGGTCAGCCGAGTGATCTTGCCGTAGTGCTCGTAAAACAGCTGGGATATGCGGGCCGTGTCGGATATGGTGTACTGGCCGATGATCGGGAACAAGCGCCAGGTGTTGCCGAAAATCGGCAAGGGCTTCGGTCCGGGTATCTCCTCGTAGGGTTTGGCGGCGTCGGACGAGATCGGCTCGGTTGTCGCTGCCGCGTAGCTGTCGCTCGTTATCCCACGCCGGCAGAGCCGGGACGCTCCTCTTATGCTACCCATTAGGGATTACACTGATATGGACTTCTTCTTCTTCTTCTTGACGATGTTCTTCTTTCAGTTCGTGGGTGTATACCTGTAAACAGGATTTTATTCCCAATTGACGCTGCTGTAGGCCATTTTTACATTGCTTGTGAAATATTTGAGAGGAGGTTTTTTTTTCTTTCGCTCGAGTGATGTTCATCGATGTATAGAATGCGCTTTTGGGTGATGGTTATACCCTTCTCCGGTATATGTCTACTCTACGGGAGGAGATGGTATTTACAAAACAAATGGGGACGCATACATTTGGATTTCTGTTACTCGGCGGATGAAAAAAACTTCCTTGAAGATGCTGATTTTAGAAATTCGCGTTGGCTCATCGGTATTCGACTTTATCTTTTCGCAATACTTTGAGGGGTTTTTTTACCTGTCAGTATTGCAGCTCGATTACCATAACTTGTGATGGTTCGCATTTTTCTTGAAAATCTCTAAAAATTATAGAAATCAATGAAATTTTTTTAAAAAAGTACAGGTAACAACGTTAAGATTAAGAACCTATAAAACACGAATGGCCAACATTTCAAAGTAATTGTTAACCCGATCTGATATGTAGAGGAGTCGAACGGTGAAACAAAAATTATTCATTAATTATAAAACACACGAACAATGCCCATAAAAAAAAGGTATAAGAATTTAGAGTATTTAAAAATGATTTATATAGATACCGATCGGAAAGGTGTATGGCGGATATTTTTAATTATTGTGCTGCAATCAATGGGATAATTGAAAAGAAACGACAAAATGTATCAGTGGCTCTATAACTATCTCGTCATAGAACTGCTCGTGTAAAGCTCATTCGTCCAATACAAAAACACATATATTTCCCATCACAGATAGCTTATCGATTGTGAGCTTTATAACACACTCTATGAATTTAGCTTCAGTCGTGGATGTTGTTAACCCATCATATAAGTAACAAAATCTGAACCAAACGAGAAACAGCTAAAAATCATTGATAGTGGACAAATTTCCGTAAATCACCGCAAAACAGCGTCCACGCCTATATTAATTATTATAAAATGTATATACCAAACGTATACATAGTCCGCAAACAACCATAGAGCTTGCCTATAATTAAATGCTCGCAGCACCGCTAAAACGCGTCTTCGGAGCATGCGATAAAGAAGAAAATATTTTAAAAAATGCCTCGACGCACATTGGGTGCGTACCAAAACAAAATGTGTAAAAGTCGCGTATGTAAATATGCACTGCACGATAACGTTCATTGATATGCCGTCAACGTTCGGCGGCCGATCCCTTCCAACAAAGCAAACACTGATGGAATGCTTGTCCATTATACGTATATACATATGTTGGAATTGAGCAGGTGGGTATACATATACATGTGTACGTGGCTCGGGATTCGTATTATTAACGGGAGAAAGTGCAGGTATACACTTTGGTTGCCCATATACATTGTAAACTTAATTACATGGACCCGAAGGAGTGTGCAGTCCACCGGTGTGTGTGTGAAATTTTTTTTTTTGCCTTTTTGGTTCAAATGATTCCAGCGGAAATGGAGAAATTTTATAATTTTGCTTGTTATATGGAAAAATAAAAAAAATAATTTTGTGATGGAAGCTTATTGTCATACTTTTGCATGTGTGTATGGTATAATATAGATCACCCGATAATTCATTCTGTAGAAAGTTTTATGGCAAAACTGGCATGACATTGTGCAAACTAATTGAATTGTGGGCATTAACATTGCAGCATAACGTTAGTGTTACTTTTGTATTTGTTTACATTATAAAAATATTTAACATTAGTAAAAAAAAAAAAAAAAAAAAATTGCAAAACACGCTTGGTCTCGGATAACCCGCTACTACGCGTCGTAAGCTCAATTGAAACCATACAAATTTGAATAATATATGGAGCAATAAAAGCTAAGGGGATTTACGTATACATAACGGCAATAGCAGTAATCCAAAAATGTTAATTGCTCGATTGAGGATCGATCGAGGGATTTGTAATTTCAGAAAATCGGGTCCCTCGATCCACAGGTGTTGAGTAGTCGACCGGTACTTCATATAACATTGTAGCAAACAATCGGAGGCCGCGCGCAAGAAAAAGAGCGACAGAGACCTAGAAACTGCGATCGCCCAGCTGTCCATCCCCTCCTTCCCCATACGCGCTCTCCCTCTTTCTCCTTAACGATTTTGCTCGGGAAAGAGAAATTTCTCGTAGGTGTATGAAAAACTTGATTCGATTCCAACGTGATATGCTCCCCCCTCCCATTTTATTTCCATTGGGATCATACGAAGCGACATTACGAAATACCGATGTCACATGTAAATATAAAATCGGCAATGGATTATTGTTAAAAATAAATGCGTTAATATGTGCAAAAAATCGGTAGCAATAATATAATAAAGAATATATATGTTGGTACATGAACTTTGGCTCTCTGATTGATTCAAAGGATATAGGTGAAATATGATTTCTCACGCGCGCGATTGATATGTCTTTACAGCGTGTACCGTTACACGAGAGGCGCATCGCATTGACTTTCTAAAACGTTGGAAGCAAACGACATTGTCAATGTTAAAACGAAGAACAACGACAACCAAAACTCACTGCTGCTGAATGTATACATTTGTTCAACGGAAGAATATTGTCTCTTGGCAACATTGGAATGCCGATTTTTCACGCATACAGCTGGTTGCCCGAAACGGAGAGAGTCCTCGCGCGAATATGCGGAGAAAAAAAAAAAAACTCACCGCTTGCGATGTGTGTATCAGCTCTTCCGCCAATAAGGCATACCGATCTTCTCGCCTCAACGAGGTCTTGCGCGATTTTATTAACAACAAAACCAAAGCAAGTCAATTTTCACTGTACGCATGTATCGCCCGAAAAAAAAAAAAAAAAAAATCACGCCGCGACCCTCGAACTCAATGTAAAACTGGTATACGCTAATTTAACATCATAATTTAAAGCCGCACAATTTATTCATAGGTAAGGTACAATGTATGACTGCACGTATAAGTGTATGTATACAAGATACAAGCCGCAGAGTCGGTGTTGTATACGGTGCGCGAGGGACTAACGGCAGTCATCGTGTGGTTGCACGGTCCTGGTATGGTATAGGTACATCTTCGTGTGTCTTCTCTTCTCCCACCTTAACCTTCTTCTCCTTCTCTTCCTTTTGCACGGGAGAGTGGACGGAGCTCTCCCGCGTTTGCGTATATATATATATATGTATATATATAGACATGTAACATCACTCATGGCTTTTCGTTTCAATTGTCTCTTGAATTTTTCTTTTTTTCCTTACAGCTTCTTTTTTGTTGAATTAGCGCGGCGGAGAACTTAGACTTTGGCCCTATTTCGAAAAAGTCGAAAGAAAATTCTCAACATAAGTGTGAGGAATATTATACGTGAATCCTACATTTCAGATATTATACTTAAATCTGATATTGTACTTCGTTTCTTCTTTTATTCTGCACATTATTGTTGTGATGGTAATTTTTTTTTTTTTTTTTTCAGCTGTCACCATAGCTTTATCATAAAGTCCCACGCGAGAAAAGTTACACCAAACTGAAGAATCTTCGCGCGGTGGGAGATAAAGGTTTCGCGTGTATACGTAAATGCGAGAGGAAAAAAAGAAAATTACGCGCTTGGAAGCGCCAATACATGTGTATGCATCTATATATATGCTTCTGTTCGCTAATGGTTGCCGTTTCTTTAGCTTACCTCCCGTGAAAAACAAAGATACGGACAATCCTACATGAGTTTAACATTTGAAACACACCTTACGGTTTCCTCTGTCTCGCAGCGCCGCTACGGGGTTTGAAAATGATTAGCTCGTGTACATAATATATACCTATAGAAATTGTATATGATATACACAAAAAATGTACCGGTTTAATGAGTCATAAAAAAAAAAAAAATACCGCACGAAACTTTAATCGAAATTCCGAATGAAGAATTGCTTGCAGAGGATGTGTTGTTTTACGGCGTATTACTTTTGATGTACGTGACATGTATGAACATCACTTTTTTTCAAGAAGAGTATATTGTTACAGTATTAAAAATACCATCGTTTGAACTTTTTTGGAAAATGTAAAATACACATGTACGCCACAAAACAGCTCAGAACCCAAGTACAGGGATATTGTTATTTGATATTTTTCAGCTGTGTGTAAACGCGTATAGGGTAGCTTTCTGTTCCTCCATTTCCTTAAAAATTTTTTTTTTTAATAATAGAGAAATCCACGCGAAACAGAAACTGATAGGGTGACACGACCCGTAAGATTTATCGCGTCAAAACCTTATCATTGTCAGCTCACTCCCCTGAAGACTCGCTGCGTCAAAGCAGCATTGAAAATCTTTTTTATAGTGTGGATATAATAAAATATTATGAGCACATCGTAAAAGATTATTACGAGCCGGCTTAACATTGATACCTTCGCGCAGATGAACAGTTCATTGTAAGCTCATCCATTTTACAACCCATTACTACTTTTAGAAGCTGTTGGGAAAAAAAAAAAAAAAAAAAAAAAACTTTTTTCGCTAGATTATTATAAGCAGCAGTTGAAAGAAGTGCTTGGTACAATAGTTTGCAATTGGACATGGTGATTCGCGGAACCGAGAATTCGCGCAAGGGAATTTCAATCTTCGGATTGGCCACGGTAATAATGTTCGCTTTGAAGAGGTAATTTCTCGCATCTTTACTCGTGAAAAGAAACGCCCGTCATGGAAAAATTTACTGAAAAAAGGAGGCTCGAACAATAATAAATTGCGTAGAGAAAAACCCGAGATAATGGATTTGAATAGTGGTAAAAAAAAAAAAAAAAAAAAAAATGAAAAAAAAGTCAACATGGGTTAAGTAAGCATTATTATATTGCAGGTATAAGTATATATGGAGGTCAAACTGTCCGTTGCAAATTGTCCCCATTTTAGCGGGCGCTAAGCGATGTATACGTCACTGTGTGTACGTATATGCCTAGCGATGAGCAAAGAAAAAATTGCTTTGCTTGTACAGTAGTACATACCCGCACGCGTATGTAGTTAAATCCACTAAGTGTGCTATGTATACGTACAACACCAACCAACGGAGTATGTATATGCGCCTATGTACATTGTGTACAAGCATCGTTTTGTCGCGAAATAACAATGAAATAATTCCCGTACCAGCCATTGTTTCGACACGTGCGGTACTTAAAAAAAAAAAAAAAACTTTTCTAAACTATAATGTATCATTGAAATCGCCACAATCATTTCATAATACCTATTACATGATTGTCCTTGCGCACGCGACTTTATTTTTAACAAATACGCCATATTATTTTTCTCATTGATATCAGGGGTTTAACAAATAGCTAGACCTGAAATATGTAGTGTTAAAATGTGAAGAAGATGTATTGTGTCTATTAGTGGGAAAATTTTATTTTAACGGTGTACAGGTAAAAAAAACCATGTTTTTACGGATTTTACATACAAATAAAGCCGATACGAAAACGTGAATACAAGTATTGAGTCCCGAGGAAAGTTGAGAGTACGGCAAAAACTCGCTTCGATTTCCTCTACACTTTGCATTAAATACCGGACTGCAGAGTATATTACAAAGTGTGTAATTATTGCATTGTGAATTTTTGATTTAGTTTTATTATATCCAGTTGTATTTTTCACTCATTAACTCTCAGACCGGGACAAGTTATATATATATATATATATATATATGTTGAGTAGTCGACCGGTACTTCATATAACATTGTAGCAAACAATCGGAGGCCGCGCGCAAGAAAAAGAGCGACAGAGACCTAGAAACTGCGATGCAATGTTAGGTTTTTCCCACACCGATGTCGAACAATGTGTAAATATATTCACGGAGATTCAGAGATAAAAAAAAAAAAAAAAAAAACGGCATCTCGCACGTTTTCACGTCCAATTACGTCGCATTAGCGTTATGCAAAAGCACGTTTCATTGACACTCGGAGGATGAAAAAAAAAAAAAAAGCTATTATTTACACTCCAACGACGCCTGGCAGCTCGCCGAAAAAGTCCTTCCTGACCTCGCCCTTGTACTTCACCAGGCACGGCATGGAGGGCCGAAACGGCGTAGGGCCCTCCTGCCTGTAGACCCTCTCGATCTCGTCGGCGTCGTAGACGAGAAAGGTAAAAAAA